CAGGACGGAAAAGCAGCTGAGAAGGCCAACGGGGTCTGTCTGGTCTGGACTCTGAGGTCTTGGAAGAGGGAGCAAAATATCCCTTAGGATAGTGTGTGTAGACACAGGACTGAACTAAACCTGGGACTGTATGGTCACGAGATCAAACATTGCTTAAAAATTCATAAATCCGGGGCACTGACCACAGTCTGTAAATACAAAAACTGCATCACATCTATTACTGTAATGAAATTTAACCTGCAGATGACTCTGGCAGCCATTCAAGGAGAATGAATGGGGCTTCTCAAACGCTACAGAACGATGAGGAAGCAGACTTAGACAAAGGGGCAACCTAGGGCCCTCTATGGTTTAGAAGGATAAGACTCTTTGGGGAAGGAAGAAACAGCTTTTGCAGGGTGGGCATCTGACTGCCCTGACAAATTTTATTCCATACACTCTAGAGAGGAACTCAGAAGCTCTTAGTAAAATATTTCAGAGAAATGTTTTTTCCAATTCCATCTTCTGAATTTCAGTGGTTTCTGCAGGGTCATTTGTCCCACAAGTCAAAGATAAAGTTACCACAAGCTTAAAGTCAGGTTAAATATGGCAGAACTACAAATTACATTGATTTGCGGAATGGAAAAATGCTTCCACGTCGAGCAGAACTGAGCCCTACAATCAGTATGGACCACTTCCCTGGGGATTCCGGATGAAATCACATCCCAGGCTCTCCCATGAATGCCAGCTTTTGATGAAATGGTACCAAAAACATCAATAAGCCTGCACCGGGCTATCAGATCCCGTGTGTCCTGATTAGTGAAGGGAGGGGAGGAACGGATAAGACAGGAACTCAATGACAAAAGACAGGGCCACCCAACAAAGAAAGCTGGTACGGCTTCATGTTGTTGCTCAAATTATGTCTGATTTCATCTTCCACATTTCCTGAAATCCTCCTGGGTTTTAGTATTTTAATTTTAAATTGCATTTATTTAGTTTGTGTGTATGTACACATGTGCATATGTGCACCATAGTCAAGTGTGGAGACCAGAGGACAACTTATGGAAGTCACTTCTTTCCTTCCTTCAAACACAGGTTTTGAAGACTGAAGTCAGATCACAGGACATGGCGGCAAGTGTCTTTACCTGCCGGGACAGTCCTTCTGCTGATTCTCAACATAAATTTTTCAAATATCAGTACATGGTCCATAAACTCCACTGGAATCAGAGTTGAGCAGGTCAGGTTTTCTGAAATAGGGTCTTGCTATGCAGCAACCCAAACTGGCCATGCAACAATTGCCCAGCCTAAGTATCCTGAGGGCAGAATGAGGTGTGTGGCAACCAGTCTGGCTAACACTGAACTCTTAAACTCCCCCAAGTTCGCTCAAGAGGCTCCATGAGCCAAATGGCTTAAATTCTCCATTGTTTTTTTTTCTGAAGTCTTCCAGGTGCATCCAACCTGTGTCCTGTGGGCCATTTGCACCCCATAGAGAATAAGAGCCAACATAATTCTCTTTTGTGACCTGACTGAAGGGGTCTCCCATGTGAGCTCTATAGATGACATCAGTAATGATGCCAGACACATATGCTAGGCTTTGGGCCCTGGGGAGTTAGCACTCTACATGAATTAGGGCTTAATGGAGAGCTGCTGCCTATTAACCTACTGGAGCACAGACAACAAAATTACACACAGCATATTGGAGACTGAACAGAAAGGACACTGGCTGGGCCTCAGAAACACAGCCTCCCTCTGACTTCTTCCTATCTTCCCTCCACAAGGGCAGGTCAAGGAATTAGAATTTCGCTACAAGGCTGTTGTAGAACCTGGAGCTATTGCTTTAAACCTGTAGGAGTCGTCTGGCTACAATGGTGCTGTGCTGGCCTGAGGGACCTGAGTTCAATATCCAGGACCTACAGAAGAAGCCAGGCATGGTAGTATACACTTGTAATCCCAGCGCTGGGGAGACAGACTTCACAACCAAGCGGTAAGCTCCAAGCCCATGAGAGATCCTGTTTCAAAGGAGGTAGGCAGTATCCCAGAAGATGGTCCAAAATTGTCTTCTAGTCTCCACGTACATGGTTACATGTACCCACCTGCACTTAAAAATGTCTTTAAGTTTTATTTTAAGTTTTTACTATGTATATGAGTTACAATGTCCAGATGTGGGTATATGCATGTGAGTGCAGTGCCCGCAAAGGCCAGGAGAGGGCATAAGATTCCCCTGGAGCTAGAGTTTCCGGCAGTTGTGACTGGCCTAACATGGGTGGTAGAAACCCAACTCAGGTCTTCTGGAAGAGCAGCAAGATATCGCTCTAGTCCCCATACACATGAATTTAAAGAAACAGGAAGAGGAAGAAGAAAAAAACTCTTCTCTTGCCTGATCATAGTTGTTCAAACCTGGGGGTCCTACCCCAACCCTAGGAGAAAGGAATTCAGAGTGCCGGAAAGACTGAGCAGACAAACTTGCTTCAGCTCCACCGTCTGTCATCCTTGTAGAAGTAAACATCTGTCTCAGGGCCTTTGGTCTTCATATATGAAAGCTCTTGGACTTGTTTTACTTTTCTGTAGTTAACTTGTCTTTTGTTGAAGGCATTAGGATGTTTAGACAGAGGCCATACTTTTCTATGTCTACAAACCTAACAAAATGGCACACAGTTCTCCAAAGATCTGTAGCCAAGCGACAGCTTCCCTGGTTCGTCTAATGCTGTCATCACTGCGTCTATCTAGAGTGTCAGTGAATGCTCAACAATGAAATGAAGTTATGAGGAACCCTGGAAAACAGCACTTGACCTCAAATACCAATTCCATGGCAAGTAAACACCAGTCATGTTCACAGCCAGCCAATGGTGGCCAGCGGGCTGCAAAGACAGAAATATAGACCTGTCTATTTACCTGTGGATATAAGCCACCTGGTTCCTTGGGCTATTTTCATGGCAGCAGAAAGCCAAAACAAACAGAATACAAGTGACTGGTGCCAAGACTCCACAGCTTCCTCTTACTAGTTCCCTTTTTTCCATCCTCATGGGGCTTTGGGGAAATTTGGTGGAGAATTTGAAGTTGGGGGTGGGGAGAGGTGGAGGGAGGCATCCTGTCATTCTCACAGCTATCTTCTTAGTATAGGTTGGGAATGCCTGCCAGCTCCTTCCTGTCAGTGGGCTCCCCTCTGACATCCTTCTGACCTCCACAGCAGCTTTGCTGGTATCCTGCTTAATGGTCCTGTGCTGGACCTCAGCTCTTCCATACACACAACTTTTCCAGTCTAGGAACGCCTCCCAGCGGCCTTAGCTGGGATTCTGAGCTGAGCTCTGAACTTTTCAACAGCATACTTGATTTTCACCCATAGCAGAAGCCACTCAGGACCAGGGGCCATTTTTTCTTTCAGCACCTTTATAGGACAAGGTGTGATTCTTTCCCCTCCCATGGCCAGCCCATAAGGAAGGACAGCATAAATGTAGCCAGAGACACAGAGCTACTTCTATCCAGTATTTTAAAGACTCAAGAAACTGAAACTGTTGACAGATTTTTAGAGCAGCCACCAAGTCACTTAATTCAGTAAAACATCACACAGACATTTTTTTTCAGGTAGGAATAAACCCATTCATTATTAGTGCTTTTAGTGTAACGGGAAAAGGAGGACAATGGGCCTTGCCCATAGTAGGTCTACAACAAATGTTTCTTAGCTGGCCTGTTCACTTTTATAAGGCTGGCAGAGACAAGAGCCAGGTGAAGAATGGGTGTTATTCTAGGCCAGGTAGAGCAAGTGACACACCCTCTGGTCCTGATGCATCTGATAAAGTCAAACACTGGAGGAATTCCCGGCGCCTTCCTCTACAGCCACCTACATTAGTTCTGTTTTGAAAGAGCCAATCTGGGAAGGCTGAAGTGGAGGGCAGAAAGGCAGGCAAGCACCTACTGGTGGAAGCAATCTTCCTTTAAAGGACTCCAATATGGAGCCTAGGAGTCCCTGAATCAGCTCCAGCTCACCATGCCAATGGGAGGGCGGCTAGAGTTTGAAAAGGCTGGAGGAGTGGGCTGGATGGCACAACCCTGTAATCTCTACACTGTGAAGGCAGAAAAGTCCAAGAGTTCAAGACCACCCTCGGCTATATATGCAGTTGGAATTCCAGTCTGGACTACATAAGACCCTGTCTCAAAGTAACAAAAAGCCGATGGGAATTCAGGACGTCCCGTGACTCCCACAAACTATTTCCCAACGACTACTGCTCAGTCCAACAGTGAATGACATCAGCTTCACTATCCGGAAGCACAAATCCGACAAAGTATTAAGGAAGGTCCAAGAGGCCTGATCACTGGAGCTTCGCCTTTCTAGAACACACCCATGTCCCCTCACCCCTTCCTCTTAAGCCTGAACGGAAGGTGTGGGCACTACACCGAATGACGATTAAGTGCACAGTCTGGACCCACGCTGACCTGGAAACCCCTGAGAAGCAAGAACTGGGCTGGCTGGTCAGGCAGGGGCCACTTCCACCTTCGTCGTCGCCGTCTGCGCTAGGAGTTCCGCGATCGTGCCGGATCCCTAGAGCACTGGCACGCCCGCACTCTGCTGGGAATCCGCGTGAAACTCCCAGGGATAAGTGCAGACTCGTGGGCCCTGAGAGCCACGGAGCATCTGGAAAGTTATTCTACTTTTTGTCTATTCGCTTCTGCTTTCAGACTCCGCGAGCGATCGCTCTCCAAATCACAATTTAGATTCTAAAGGCTACTAGAGAAAACCGCGCCGTTTCCTACAATCCCCAGGGGCATCATCCGGGGAGGTTCAGAGGAGAGCTGGGCAGTCCGGGCCTGAGGACCAAAGACTACCGGAGCACCGCTGGAACCCCTCGCTCTAAATCCCGCCCAAAGCGCGCCGCCCCGGGTCTCGCGACGTCGCTACTCGCCACCCTCGGAGAGCGCGGAGCCCCGGGGCTCTAGGCAGGTGCCAGAGCACGGCCTCCACCTCCGAAGCTGCCCCGCACCCCGCGCCTGGTGTTCCCCCACGCAGCACCCAGCAGCGCCACACTCACCGCCACCCGCGCCGCCTGTCGAGCCGTGAGGTCTGCACTGGCCGCGCGCGCGGGCCGGGAAAGCTCCAGGGAGGCAGGGCGAGCCGGGGGCGGGGATGTTTCGGGGCGTGGCCTGGGGCATGTGGGGCGGGGCCTGGGAGGTGCGGGGCGACAGCCTAAGGCTGACGGAATCGGGAGGAAGCTGCGACCTGAAAGGGCTCCCGAGAGGCGGGGCGCGGGGAGGCAAAGCCTGGAGGGTCTGGCAGAGGGCGGACTCGGCGAGTCGCGAGGCCTGGGAAAGGGCGGAGCAAGGAGATTATTCTTTGTTTCTAACAGCCCCAACCACGCACACCCCCAAAGGCATAAAGACAACCTACAGAAAGGAGACAATATTTGCAGGTTATGTAGCTGGTGAAGGTCTAATATTCAAAATATATAAAGAACTGTACAGGAGACAGACGCACGTATTCGAGGTCAGCCTTATCTACCGCAGTGAGTTTCAGGCAAGCTAGGGCTCCGTAGTGTCTCAAGATCTGTCTCAAGAAACCAAAAACCCGCCAGAGCTGCAGCTCAGCTGGTAAAGGGCTGTAGCATGCTTGAAAACCTGAGTTTGTCTCCAATGCCTCATAAGAACAGGCCTGCAACACCAACACTTTGGAAGGCTGAGAAATGGTTCCTCAAAAAGTTGAGGCTAACCTGTGAGGAAGTTTGAAGCCAGCCAAGGATACACAGTGAGACTCTGTCTCACTCCGTCCCTCGCACACAAAAAGACTCTTACAACGTGTGTGTGTGTGTGTGTGTGTGTGTGTGTGTGTGTGTGTGTGTGTGTGTGTGTATCTTACTATGTAGCCCTGGCTGGCCTGGAACTCAGAGATCTGCCTGCTTCTGTCTCCTTTGTGCTGGGGTAAAGACATGTGTTCACCACACCTGGCTTGGCTTCATTATTTACACAAGACCTAACAGAAACAGCGTAAAGAAGGAGAAAGGTTTATTTGGGATCATAGTTTTGGATGGTTTCAGTCCATCATCATGAGAAAAATCTGGCAAGAGATTATGCAGCAGAAGCTATGTAGAACGGTTCACATCACAGTAGACCAGGAGGGAGAGACAATCAGGACCCAGGGCCAGGAATAACCTTCAGAGGCCCAGCCCTAGCCACTTACTTTTACCAGATAGGCCCTGCCTCCTAAAGATTTCATAACTCCCAAAAGAGTTCAAATCATGAGAGTCTGGGGGATGGGGGGGTTCAGATTTAAGTTGTAGCATACTCAACAATAAGGAGACAACTCAGGTGGGTTTTTTGTTTGTTTGTGTTTGTGTTTGTTTGTTTGTTTGTTTGAGACAGGGTTTCTCTGTGTAGCCCTGGCTGTCCTGGAACTCACTCTGTAGACCAGGCTGGCCTCGAACTCAAAGATCTGCCTGCCTCTACCTCTGTGCTGGAATTAAAGGTGTGCACCACCAACACCCAGTCCAAGAGACAACTCAGCTTTAAGATGTGCAGTGGGATCTGGTGTGGCAGTAGACAACTGTAATCTCAGACATCGGGAAGGGGAGGCTGGCCCTCGAGTTCAAGGTCAGCCTGCTCTGCATTAGTAAGACCCTATCACAGAAAACCAAAAGGGCTGAGGGAGGGGATAGAACCAGGGAGATGGCTCAGTGGGTGAAAATACAAGCCTGAAGATCTGAGTTCAGATCACCACAACCCATTATAAAAAAAAAAAGATGCTGAATTCAGTGGCACTCATCTGTATACCAGGACCCCTGCTATGAGAGGAGCAGAGGCAGGAGAATGGCCTTGTTGGGGAGCTCTCAAGCAGCCTGCTGCAGTAGGCAGCTCAGCAAAGGCAGGAAAGATTTGCTTAATAAGGTGAACAGTGAAAAAGAACCCCAAAGTTGTCCCTGACCTCCACATGTGCCTTTCCCATGTTTATCATAACACCCATGTGCCCAAACTCTCTCTCTCTCACACACACACACACACATATGCGTGCCCGCACACGCGCGTGCACATACACACACACATACACACATGCATCCTTTTAAATTATACTTAAAAATGAATTGAAGCCAGGTGGTGGTGAAGCACACCTTTAATCCCAGCACTGGGGAGGCAGAGGCAAGTGGATCTGAGTTCAAGGCTAGCCTGGTCTACAGAGTGAGTTCCAGGACAGCCAGGGCTACAAAGAGAAACCCTGTCTTGAAAACCAAAAACAAACGGATGATTTTGGAGAGTGTTTTGTCATAAGCTATAAACAAGCAAACTGAGGTGTGTGTGCAAACGCTGCCGAGCACGTGGAAAACAGTCTAGGCTCCTTAGTCATCACAGAAATGTGATGGAAACCACAATGAGAAGCTACTTTCACCCTGTGAGAGTCACAGAGTGTTTTGTGAGAGAATATAAATGGGGGAGCACATAGAGTGCTGGGAAGATGGCTCAGGACAGAAAGTGCTGGCCGTGCAAGCATGAGGACCTGAGTTCAATTCCTAGCATGCACTTAAAAACTGAGCAAGGCAGTGTGAGTCGGTAACCTCAGTGCGAGGGCCGCAGAGACAGGAGGATGCCTGAGGTTCACTGGCAGTCAGCCTAGCAAAACTAGAGTGCTTTAGGTTCAGTGAGTGATTGTATACACACACA